CAAGGAGAGAGATATGTATATCGTCGTACAGACGGTTCATGCCCTCGTCTCGTGGCAATAGGATAATCTATACCGGTGGGATGGTTCAGATATCGTGGACGGTTGCAGTGAATTTGACCCTTGGTTGTTGTGTGTGGACGGGATATAGAAACAATCATATCCGTGGATGCTATCCGCAGTTGTGCTTTAGAGATAACAAGAACTATCCCGTGGATTGGTTCAATGTTTAACTATCCGCATGGATCCCGGTTAGCTTTGGAATAGTCTGATCCCTCTACTGTAGAATTCTGTGACTGGGTATAATAGATTGTTCCATTCTCATCCATAGTGGAGCACCGTCGGTGTTTTTGACATCTATATTTTCTATGCTACTGCATACCAATCGACCGTGGTTGTCCCTTAAACTTTATCATGCGTGGATCGGCTGCCAACTATCCGTTCGAAAGGATCTGTGCTCTGCAATATACTACCTCATTTGGATTTTCTCGGGCTAACAAATATCCGGTTGACTTGTTCACTCTGGTATAACTTAAATCGTTGCAAGGTTTTTTGTGGTGTTTCATTGTCTAACCGCTTTGACATAATATGTCAAGCAATTGTTATAGAGTAAACTATACGTGGACGGTCAACTGTGTTTTAGACTATGCGACGCATATAAATTGATATCTCATCCTTCAGAGTATCTAAATAAAAAATATGTGAAGTGATGTTTGAATTAATACGTTTTTTGTTCTACAAGTTCTGGGCCAAGTGTTCATGATGGCCGCATTGAATTCATGCTAGCTGTTGTAATTTATGGCAAATGAAAGGTAAAAACTTGCCAGTAGTTATGTGGAATAAAAAAAGTTCACAATAAGAAAAGAATGATTCCCAAACACAGAATCAAGGTACACTATCCGTGTTGATGAGGCAACGGTTACAATACAAAATAACTATTTAACCAGTGGGAGACATCGCTATGCAAATACAATACTTATTCTCGATGTAGGAATGGTATATGCCTCAACATTAGCTTCCGTAAGGAAGGGTTGATGAATTGGACAAATATAATCCGGGACGGTTAAGCAGATTAATTGCAATCTGTCTTGACTGCAGCTTTTTACAGATATTTATGTAAGCTTAAAATGAATGAACTCAAAGGATTCCGTTGGATCAAAATATGTATATTCTTAGACACACATTCCAAACAACACGTAAAAGAGTTTTATCTAAAAATAAGACTGACAGTTTTTCTAGGCTAATATGGAAATATCGTTCATAATCATTTTTTTGAGAAACTTTCAGCCATTTTTTCTGAGTTGTAGTATACATGTCATAGACTCAGAATAGAGTGTGTTCATGGATAGATTGCAGGTAGTAAGCAGTATGTGTCTAAACTGCTAATGAATTGATTGCACAAGTCCAGTTGATCTCAATATATGATTGGTTAAGCATCGCTACTTGATAAGTTGATTTAAGACACGCTTCAAATCCGACTTCACAGACAGTGGATGTTTTGGTTACGGGGGCGGTTGCAGTATTGCGGGATCGTCTGATCTATGTTCGAATAATCTTGGCCTACCTTGGCAGAGCACTCATTTACCTTATTTACACCATTTCAGATAACAATCTATGAGTTTCCTATTGTGTTGGGTGATGGACTACATCTCTTCTCTCTTCTCTCCTCTCTCTCTCTCTCTCCTTCTCTTACTCTCTTCTCTCTCTCTCTCTCTCTCTCTCATTCTCTCTTTAATCCTCTCTCTAAAGTACAATGTCAGTGAGCGACGTTAGTGATAGTGATTCTCCACACGCTTTTTGCCATGCTTGGTTTTCCCACAGATCTGTTCTGCACTTTGGTCTCTCAATCAGAGATAAGACTTCAGCATATTTATAATTTCACTATTAAATGCGTTGCATGACGCTGCACAACTACATCCTCGATAGCACATGTACTTCTTAAGAAGCCTCTGATCTTTTTGCTAGCTAAATCGACCCGATTTTGTCACACACTGTTCTATACCATCACACAACAACACGCCCATTGATTTATCAAACAGGCTCGTTGACGTTGATTGGTTAGACGTTATTACACCCTCGCAACATGCTCTTTGTACCGAGAAGCTGTCTCTAAACAAGAATAACCTGAAAGCTAAGAGCTTAAACTAATTTGCGTATAGATTTCAACGCAATAAAAGTATTTTGTCTCAAATGGTAATAGAGAGTAATTTCCTTACAATGCATGGCTTGCTGATTGTAACTTAGGCATGTAGTACTTATATGCATAGCCACAATCTCCTTGCGATGAGTTTTTAGGAACACAAAAGTGTAATCACGAACATCTGAGTTTGAAAAAAGAAGTCTAATGTGAGTATTTTGTTTCCACGAAAATAAACTTTACGGCAAGCTGCAATAAAAAATTTTTTGTGAATGAACAAATTCTGTTTATCCTGTTCCTTTCAGGTTCGCAAAATGTTTCCAATGATCGTGACAACTCCATGTCCTCCTCTCGTGCAATAGGTACTGATTTGCACCTTTGTTTTATGAAACGACACCTAAAGCTTCAGCTTTAGAATAAAAGATTTTCATCATCCATGTTTGCAAGGTCGCCTTAACTAAGAATTCTTTGTAAATTTTCCATTCATGCAAGTGTTTTTCTTTTCCATGCTCGTACACATGTCTTATTCTTCGAAAGGTTTCTCTCTAATTTTTTGCAAAGCTTTTCTCTCTGGTATTAAATGCAACAGGTTTTGGGCTTTGTTTTATTGGCAACGCTTTGCAATATATTAGAGTATGTTTTAAGACTTCAAGACATGCTCACTAATCTTCAAGCTAATAAAAAAATATGAGGTGATGTTTTGATTAATCCTTTTTGTTATACAGCTTGGCCCATGCAATGCTGCCTGATTCATGCTAGCTGTTTGTATTGATAGCAAGAAAGGACAATAGAAGTAAGTTAGTGAATAAAGTCATCAAAGATGATTCCAATAACAAATCAGTTTGATGAATCACAAATAATAACAGGATCACAAATCATTTATGATGAATCACAAATCAGAAAGTTTGATGATGATCATAAGGTATGCAGATCTTCATAATCACTGATTTTGTTTAAAGCCTTAAAATGTGAACTCAGGATCTCCGTTGATAAAATATTGTATATTCTTGCAGCATTCCAAACAACACGTCCACAAGAGTTTTTCTCAAATAAGACTGACAGTTTTTCTAGGCTAATGGAAATATCGTAGTCATAAAATCATTTTTTGTGAAAGCACTATTCAGGCGCCAATTTTTCCTGAAGTTTTGGAGTTTTGTTGCTAGATAAGTGTTGTTTCATATAGATTGCCAGTAGTAAAGCACGATTGTTTACACTGCTATGAATTGATTGCACAAGTCATTGATCTTCAATTTGATTGGATTAGACCACGCTACTTGTAAGTTGATTAAGACACGCTTCAAATCCGATTCAGCGAATGATGTTTTGGGAAGCGTCTGATCTATTTTCGAATAAATCTTGGCTAATTGGCACAATTTAACCATTTTTCACCCATTACAGTCATTCTATAGAAGTTTCCTATTGTGTTTGGGTTGATGGACTCATTCTCTCTTCTCTCTCTCTCTCTCTTCTCTCCTCTCTCTTCTTTCTCTCTCTCTTCTCTCTCTCTCCTCTCTCTCTTTCTTCTTTAAGTACAATGTCCAGTGAGGACGTTCGTGATCGTGATTCTCCAAGTTTTTTGCCTCTTGGTCTTTCCAGCGATCTTGTTCTGAACTTTGGTATCTTCAATTCAGAGATACACATTCAGATATTTTATAATTTCAACTATAAATGCGTGCATGACGCTGCAAATTAATTCGGTGTGTTTTTAGAAGCCTCTGAATTTTTGCTAGCTATCGACCGATTTGTCACACACTGTTATAAATCCAGCCATTGATTTTATCAAAACCAGGCCCGTTGCAGTTGATTGGTTTAAACGTTTTACACCCTCGCAATGCTCTTTGGTAAACAACAGAGCGCTGTCTCTAAACAAGATAACCCTGAAGACATAAGAGCCTAACTTATTTGCGTAATAGATAACGCAATAAAGTTATTTTGGTCCCTCCAATGTTGCGAGTATTTCCTTACAATGCAATTGCTTGTTAATTTGTAACCTTAGGCTAGGGTATTTATGCTGCTAAACAATCTCTTGCCGATAGTTTTAGGAACACAAAAGTGTAATCACGACATCTGAGGTTTTGAAAAAGACACGTGCGTATCAAATTCTCGTCAAAAGAAGTCTTTTGTTAATCCACAAAATAAACCTTCGGCAAGCTTGCAATAAAAAATTTTTGTGTGACAAAATTCTGTTTATCCTGTCTCTTTCGGTTCGCACTGTTTCAATGATTCGTGAAATCATTCTCCTCTCGTTGCAATAGTTACTGATTGACATTTTGTTTCTCCTTAATGAAACGACCTAAAGCTTCAAGGCTTAGATAAAGATTTTTCAAATCCATCATGTTTGCAATGGTCGCCTTACTAAATTCTTTGTAAGTTTTCTTCCATGCACGTGTTTCTCTTTTTTATGCTCGATACACATGTCTTATTCATTCGAAAGGTTTCTCTCTATTTTTTTGCAAGTTTCTCTCTGGTAATTGAAATGCAAGGTTTTGCTTTGTTTTCATGCAAACGACGCTTTGCCAAATCAAATTAGAGTATGTTTTCAGACTTCAGACATGCTCATCTCATCTTCAGCTAAATAAAAAAATATGAGTGATGTTTGATTAATCTTTTTTGTTCATACAGCTTGGCCATGATGCCTGCCTGATTCAATGCTAGCTGTTGTATTGATGCAATGAAAGGACAATGACAGTAGTTAGTGAATAAAAAGTCACATCAAAGAATGATTCCCAAAACAGATCAGTTGATGAATCACAAATCATAACAGGAATCACAAATCATTTGATGATGAATCACAAATCAGAACAGTTGATGAATGACATAAGGTATGCAATCTTCATATCACTGATTTATGTTAAGCTTAAAATGATGAACTCAAAGGATCTCCGTTGGATCAAAATATTGTATATTCTTGACACATTCCAAACAACACGTCCACAAAGAGTTTTTCTAAAAATAAGACTGACAGTTTTTCTAGGCTAATGGAAATATCGTAGTCATAAAAATCATTTTTTGTGAAAGCAACTATTCAGCCAATTTTTTCCTGAAGTTTGGAGTCTTTGTTGCTAGACTAAGTGTGTTCATATAGATTGCAGTAGTAAGCACGATTGTTAAAACTGCTAATGAATTGATTGCACAAGTCCAGTTGATCTTCAATTTGATTGGTTAAGACCACGCTACTTGTAAGTTGATTAAGACCACGCTTCAAATCCGATTCACGAATGATGTTTTGGGAAGCGTCTGATCTATTTTCGAATAAATCTTGGCCTACTTGGCACACATTTACCATTTTTACCCATTATCAGTCATTCTATAGAAGTTTCCTATTGTGTTTGGGTTGATGGACTACATCTCTCTCTCTCTCTCTCTCTCTCTCTCTCTCTCTCTCCCTCTCTCTCTCCTCTCTCTCTCTCTCTCTCTCTCTCTCTCTCTCTCTCTCTCTCTCTCTCTCTCTCTCTCTCTCTCTCTCTCTCTCTCTCTCTCTCTCTCTCTCTCTCTCTCTCTCTCTAAGTACAATGTCCAGTGAGGACGTTCGTGATCGTGATTCTCCACAGCTTTTTGCCTCTTGGTCTTCCCAGCAGATCTTGTTCTGACACCTTTGGTCTCTCCAATTCAGAGATAAACATTCAGATATTTATAATTTCACTATAAATGCGTGCATGACCGCTGCAAATTAATTCGTGATGTTTTTAGAAGCCCTCTGATCTTTTGCTAGCTAAATCGACCCCGATTTGTCACACACTGTTATAAATCCAGCCCATTGATTTATCAAAACCAGGCTCGTTGCACGTTGATTGGTTAGACGTTATTACACCCCTCGCAACATGCTCTTTGTACCGAGACGCTGTCTCTAAACAAGATAACCCTGAAAGACATAAGAGCCTAACTTATTTGCGTATAGATCAACGCAATAAAAAGTATTTTGTCTCAAAATGTTGCGAGTATTTCCTTACAATGCAATGGCTGTTGATTGTAACTTAGGCTGTGGTATTTATGCTGCTAAACAAATCTCTTGCCGATGAGTTTTAGGAACACAAAAGTGTAATCACGAACATCTGAGGTTTGAAAAAGACGTCATCAATCTCGTCAAAAGAAGTCTTTGTTAATCCACAAAATAAACTTCGGCAAGCTGCAATAAAAAAATTTTTTTGTGTGAACAAATTCTGTTTATCCCTGTCTCCTTTCAGGTTCGCAAAATGTTTCCAATGATCGTGACAACTCCATGTCTCCTCTCGTGCAATAGGTTACTGAATTTGACCTTTGTTTATGAAACGAACCTAAAGCTTCAAGGCTTTAGATAAAAAGATTTTTCATCCATCCATGTTTGCAATGGTCGCCTTACTAGAATTCTTTGTAAAGTTTTCCTTCCATGCACGTGTTTTCTCTTTTTCCATGCTCGATACACATGTCTTATTCATTCGAAAGGTTTCTCTCTATTTTTTTGCAACGCTTTTCTCTCTGGTATTAAATGCAAAGGTTTTGCTTTGTTTTCATTGCAACGCTTTGCCAATCAAATTAGAGTATGTTTTCAGACTTCAGACATGCTCATCTCATCTTCAGCTAAATAAAAAAATATGAGTGATGTTTGATTAATCTTTTTTGTTCATACAGCTTGGCCATGATGCCTGCCTGATTCAATGCTAGCTGTTGTATTGATGCAATGAAAGGACAATGACAGTAGTTAGTGAATAAAAAGTCACATCAAAGAATGATTCCCAAAACAGATCAGTTGATGAATCACAAATCATAACAGGAATCACAAATCATTTGATGATGAATCACAAATCAGAACAGTTGATGAATGACATAAGGTATGCAATCTTCATATCACTGATTTATGTTAAGCTTAAAATGATGAACTCAAAGGATCTCCGTTGGATCAAAATATTGTATATTCTTGACACATTCCAAACAACACGTCCACAAAGAGTTTTTCTAAAAATAAGACTGACAGTTTTTCTAGGCTAATGGAAATATCGTAGTCATAAAAATCATTTTTTGTGAAAGCAACTATTCAGCCAATTTTTTCCTGAAGTTTGGAGTCTTTGTTGCTAGACTAAGTGTGTTCATATAGATTGCAGTAGTAAGCACGATTGTTAAAACTGCTAATGAATTGATTGCACAAGTCCAGTTGATCTTCAATTTGATTGGTTAAGACCACGCTACTTGTAAGTTGATTAAGACCACGCTTCAAATCCGATTCACGAATGATGTTTTGGGAAGCGTCTGATCTATTTTCGAATAAATCTTGGCCTACTTGGCACACATTTACCATTTTTACCCATTATCAGTCATTCTATAGAAGTTTCCTATTGTGTTTGGGTTGATGGACTACATCTCTCTCTCTCTCTCTCTCTCTCTCTCTCTCTCTCTCTCTCTCTCTCTCTCTCTCTCTCTCTCTCTCTCTCTCTCTCTCTCTCTAAGTACAATGTCCAGTGAGGACGTTCGTGATCGTGATTCTCCACAGCTTTTTGCCTCTTGGTCTTCCCAGCAGATCTTGTTCTGACACCTTTGGTCTCTCCAATTCAGAGATAAACATTCAGATATTTATAATTTCACTATAAATGCGTGCATGACCGCTGCAAATTAATTCGTGATGTTTTTAGAAGCCCTCTGATCTTTTGCTAGCTAAATCGACCCCGATTTGTCACACACTGTTATAAATCCAGCCCATTGATTTATCAAAACCAGGCTCGTTGCACGTTGATTGGTTAGACGTTATTACACCCCTCGCAACATGCTCTTTGTACCGAGACGCTGTCTCTAAACAAGATAACCCTGAAAGACATAAGAGCCTAACTTATTTGCGTATAGATCAACGCAATAAAAAGTATTTTGTCTCAAAATGTTGCGAGTATTTCCTTACAATGCAATGGCTGTTGATTGTAACTTAGGCTGTGGTATTTATGCTGCTAAACAAATCTCTTGCCGATGAGTTTTAGGAACACAAAAGTGTAATCACGAACATCTGAGGTTTGAAAAAGACGTCATCAATCTCGTCAAAAGAAGTCTTTGTTAATCCACAAAATAAACTTCGGCAAGCTGCAATAAAAAAATTTTTTTGTGTGAACAAATTCTGTTTATCCCTGTCTCCTTTCAGGTTCGCAAAATGTTTCCAATGATCGTGACAACTCCATGTCTCCTCTCGTGCAATAGGTTACTGAATTTGACCTTTGTTTATGAAACGAACCTAAAGCTTCAAGGCTTTAGATAAAAAGATTTTTCATCCATCCATGTTTGCAATGGTCGCCTTACTAGAATTCTTTGTAAAGTTTTCCTTCCATGCACGTGTTTTCTCTTTTTCCATGCTCGATACACATGTCTTATTCATTCGAAAGGTTTCTCTCTATTTTTTTGCAACGCTTTTCTCTCTGGTATTAAATGCAAAGGTTTTGCTTTGTTTTCATTGCAACGCTTTGCCAATCAAATTAGAGTATGTTTTCAGACTTCAGACATGCTCATCTCATCTTCAGCTAAATAAAAAAATATGAGTGATGTTTGATTAATCTTTTTTGTTCATACAGCTTGGCCATGATGCCTGCCTGATTCAATGCTAGCTGTTGTATTGATGCAATGAAAGGACAATGACAGTAGTTAGTGAATAAAAAGTCACATCAAAGAATGATTCCCAAAACAGATCAGTTGATGTATCACAAATCATAACAGGAATCACAAATCATTTGATGATGAATCACAAATCAGAACAGTTGATGAATGACATAAGGTATGCAATCTTCATATCACTGATTTATGTTAAGCTTAAAATGATGAACTCAAAGGATCTCCGTTGGATCAAAATATTGTATATTCTTGACACATTCCAAACAACACGTCCACAAAGAGTTTTTCTAAAAATAAGACTGACAGTTTTTCTAGGCTAATGGAAATATCGTAGTCATAAAAATCATTTTTTGTGAAAGCAACTATTCAGCCAATTTTTTCCTGAAGTTTGGAGTCTTTGTTGCTAGACTAAGTGTGTTCATATAGATTGCAGTAGTAAGCACGATTGTTAAAACTGCTAATGAATTGATTGCACAAGTCCAGTTGATCTTCAATTTGATTGGTTAAGACCACGCTACTTGTAAGTTGATTAAGACCACGCTTCAAATCCGATTCACGAATGATGTTTTGGGAAGCGTCTGATCTATTTTCGAATAAATCTTGGCCTACTTGGCACACATTTACCATTTTTACCCATTATCAGTCATTCTATAGAAGTTTCCTATTGTGTTTGGGTTGATGGACTACATCTCTCTCTCTCTCTCTCTCTCTCTCTCTCTCTCTCTCTCTCTCTCTCTCTCTCTCTCTAAGTACAATGTCCAGTGAGGACGTTCGTGATCATGATTCTCCACAGCTCCTTGCCCCTTGGTCTTCCCAGCAGATCTTATTCTGACACCTTTGGTCTCTCCTATTCAGAGATAAACGTTATGATACTTATAATTTCACTATAAATGCTTGCATGACCGCTGCAAATTAATTCGTGATGTTTTTAGAAGCCCTCTGACCTTTTGCTAGCTAAATCGACCCCGATTTGTCACACACTGTTATAAATCCAGCCCATTGATTGATCAAAACCAGGCTCGTTGCACGTTGATTGGTTAGACGTTATTACACCCCTCGCAACATGCTCTTTGTACCGAGACGCTGTCTCTAAACAAGATAACCCTGAAAGACATAAGAGCCTAACTTATTTGCGTATAGATCAACGCAATAAAAAGTATTTTGTCTCAAAATGTTGCGAGTATTTCCTTACAATGCAATGGCTGTTGATTGTAACTTAGGCTGTGGTATTTATGCTGCCAAACAAATCTCTTGCCGATGAGTTTTAGGAACACAAAAGTGTAATCACGAACATCTGAGGTTTGAAAAAGACGTCATCAATCTCGTCAAAAGAAGTCTTTGTTAATCCACAAAATAAATTTCGGCAAGCTGCAATAAAAAAATTTATTTGTGTGAACAAATTCTGTTTATCCCTGTCTCCCTTCAGGTTCGCAAAATGTTTCCAATGATCGTGACAACTCCATGTCTCCTCTCGTGCAATAGGTTACTGAATTTGACCTTTGTTTATGAAACGAACCTAAAGCTTCAAGGCTTTAGATAAAAAGATTTTTCATCCATTTATGTTTGCAATGGTCGCCTTACTAGAATTCTTTGTAAAGTTTTCCTTCCATGCACGTGTTTTCTCTTTTTCCATGCTCGATACACATGTCTTATTCATTGCAAAGTTTTCTCTCCATTTTTGCAATGCCTTCCTTTCTGGTATTACATGCTGAGGTTTCCCTCCATTTTTGTTTGCAACACTTTCCTTTCAGGTATTACATGCTGAGGTTTCCCTCCATTTTTGTTTGCAACGCTTTCCTTTCTGGTATTACATGCTGAAGTTTCCTTCCATTTTTGTTTGCAACACTTTCCTTCTCTTTCTGGCATTACATGTAAGAATTTCCTCCCAATGTCGTTTTCAATGCTTTTCTCTCAGCTATTAATGTAAATGTAAAAGTTTCGCAGGTTTTCCTCAATAGCCATTTGCAATTATATTTTTTCCAAAAGGGTTCTTACCAAGAGACGCTGTCGTAAAATGTATTTTAAACCTTTTGTTACCAGCATTTCAACTTCTTTCATTCCTGTTCATTTTCATAAGTTTCCTGATTTCAACTAAAGCATTTCAAATATTTTCCTTCCATCTGACTCGTGAATCATTTTAAGATAGGACTTTAAACTTATTAAAATGAAATCTCAAACAAGCAGAACAAATATGGAAGTATTTTCCGGCCGTCCAGAAGAACCATTTCTATTCTTCTTTTTTTGAAAGAGTTTATTTTTGAAGCTCACAAATGTTTTCGTAACTTGAAGTTTCAACGACTTCCTATGCATATTTAGATAGATATACTGCACAAGTTTTGGTTTCAATTTTACCATTACACATACTCAAACATTGAAAGTTTTGCTAAAGACATTTCAGCGTGGGAGAGAGCATAAACACATGCCCCTGTCGTTTTGTCTTCTCCCATAATTCTCCTTCTCAAAATCCTCTTGGAAAATGCTGGATATATTAGACCTTTCGAGAACCATAATTTATATTAAACAGCCCTCTTGAGAGCTTTTGGAAGTGACTTTTTTCCGTTTTCCATTGAAGTCAATGAATTATTCATGAAGTCCTTACTTTTCAAAATGGATTTCATGAATTCATTTTTAAGATTACTGCTTAGTCACTTTTAACCAGACTCGACCATGCCTCGACATATTTTATTGGTTTCCAAATCACTATCAAATTTTTCCTAAATAGCTAGAGAAATATCATCAGATTTTTTGGATATTTGGACGTTATTTAGATGTCATTATATTGACCAAATTTTTATAGTTTTATCATATTTTTCTTTCTTTTGAAATTTCAAACAACCAAATCTCGCGGTTTTTATAAGAATAATTTTATAAGATCACGAAAGATTGAAGCCAATTAAGAACAAACTGGAGCTAAGGTGTTATATAAGGCAAGAATGTAAAAACATTGTTTTTAGGAATATATCTTCATTTCATAAAAAGGGTCTTGTGCTAGTTCAGAAGTTTTCTTTTGCTGATGCTACTACAGAATTTTCTGAATTCTAACTATTTTTCTGCAACAAGATATTATCTCGAGTCCAGCCTTTTTCAGCTTGCAAACTAACAATTAAAGACCAACTTTGGAATAAAATTTTCTCGAAGTTTTAGATGAAATAAAAAACCCAGTTTCCCAGTTCCTACAAATAAGGTGGTGTACGGTGCCTGTATTTCTTACCTGGACGACAACCATCCGAGATTTTGTAAAATCTTGACGTTTCTCTGAACCTGAATCCTGAACCCCTTTTCCTGGATCTGATCAAATAAAAAAATTGTAAATGCTCGACTTTTAGAAAATTATACTCCAGTTTCCAAATACGATGAAATATTTTTTCTGTCTACTTTTATTTGTCCATCAGTCGATTTGAACGAGCTTCAGTTGGTAAGGAGAATTCTGTTTGCTCCTCCTGTAGATTTTTATTTGACGTTACAAGGTTTTGTTTTTTGTTCAATAAATGGTTTATATGGTCAACGAGAGTTGAGAAAAGCAAGCGACATATGCAACAGAAACTGACATAAATTGTTGTCATAGGTCAAAAGAGCGATAGAGAAGATAAAAGCATTTTTTCACTCAGATTGTCATCCCCTTCCTTACCAGGGGTGTACTGCTAGGGTGCACAGGAGACTGACCCCCCTTGTAAATCCGAAAAGTAGCCAATTTTTATTTTGCTATTGTTTTTTGCAACAATTTTGCTCAAAAGCCCCCCCCCCCCTTGTTGAGCATCCCCCTCTTTTTGAGCCCCCTGGTGTTTTGACTGTACTAAAACCCTGCTCCTTCTCTCGAATCCTTTTTTGGTTGGAATGAATGAGATTGAAAATTCCCTAGTAATGATAAACAGAAGGATGGGTAACCCTCTCTTTATACCGGAAACAGAACTAAAATAAACAAGACGCTAGTTTTTTAAAACGAAATAAACGCATTCATTACATAGCAGTACATATCAAATATTTAGCTTTGAATTTTTTTTCTTCTTCTTGTTTCTCAAAACCCATTATCAATGACGGCGAGCTTTGTTATATGCACCTCACAGTTTTCGATACACGAGGCACGAAAATGATGACAGGGGGTCGGTAATAGTGATGTCATTGTTTTTGGGGGGTGGGTTTTGTTCGAAGAATTAATATGTAGGGGGAAGAATCAGTTTATTTTTGACTCGAAAGTGTTAACATTGCACAATCAATTTGATATTATTATTACCATTCTGCAAACCATAATTGACATTTCATTTTATTGCTGTCTTGTGTAAGATTCCCCCAGTTCAAGCCTACGTCCTTCCTTTCCCCTAAGAAATTTTTTAGAAATTGCAAGACTAGCTAAAAAATTGCAGAACTCAAAAATACAAAGTAAAGCGAAAACGATCACTAATATTTTTCCGTTACAAAATAAATGATTAAATTGATCCTGGTTAAGGCTGAGATTTGCCCTCTCGCGGGAGCTACCACCCAGAGAATAATAGGAACAAGGAAAAATCGGCTGTGGTTTTTCACCTTGCCGTACCCCCCAAAAATTATGAGAAACTCGCATCAAAGATCTTAAATTCTGTATAATGTAGGACCTGGATTTAAATTGGAAGTGCCAAAAGTAGATTCGATCATCATTTAACCAAATTGCAAGATCCAGGGATTAAATTATCCCTTGAATAAAAACTATTTTTGCATATTCCTGAATTTAATTCAAGTACTGTTATTTTCGGCATCTGCTTTTTGGCTCACTTTAACAACCTCCTAAAAATATTTCTATTTATTGTTTGATGTAAAGTCTTATGGGTGTTTTCTAAACAGGTTTTAAGTTTAGATACATGTCAAATACAGTGGAAGATGAGAATATGACTTTTGTTTTCCGATTATCGTGGCCTAGTTCTTGTGAAATTCTCTTGTTATGTTTCCGGTTTTGTCTTAATTGTTAACCTGAATTCCCGCATGCCAAAAATGCCTTTTTGCTGCAAATGAAAATGCCCCTTGGTTTATCTTTTCCTTTTTGCTGAAAAGCCCATTTAGAATGAGTTTCATTGTGGTGCTTGTGCTCCAATTGTATTTGACAACTGAATTTGCTTTCAATTCAGCTTTCTCTGCAGAAAAACCGTATGATATGCCAGTCCTGTAAACACTCTCTTCTTCGAACTTTCCAAT